CGAAAGGTTTCAATGAACGCATTCAAATTGGGTTATAAGGATTTAACATATTCACTTTCTGTAAGAATACGGACATGGTCCGTGAAATATCTGGACAAGGTGGGCTCGGAGATATTATTAGCAATATTTTGTTCAAACATTCTGAGAAGTACATCAGCTAGTTTTGCCAATGTTCACTGAGTAGTAAGTAAGGCTGTGCTCTATGATGAACAAGGGTCCGACGTTATTCCTCAACTTAATACAGAGTATAAAGGGGACAAAAGTAAACCATTTTCAACTTCAGACTTACCACTACAGTGGAAAAATTAACATTGTACACTATACACTGCAACAGTATTCTGTCTCCTTCATCAACTGTAATCCGAGTGGGTACGGTGCCCAGAAAACACGGTCTTCGTAAATTGAGTTGAGGTAAGATTTGTACCGAATAATGATCGCAGTCAAATGTTTTACTGTCTACACCGGAACTTCGCTTGCTTTGTGCGTTCACATTGACTTTGGACGCGGGTGCCGGTGATTTGAGAGCTCGGGATTGACGCTGACTTCGCCATTCAGGTTGGAAGACCCAGGCAGGTTTGTAGAGCAGTTTAACTGAAGAGGAAAAATTGGATGCGCTGGAGATGACAGATGTTTTGGGATTGAGATCGACTTGGGGCCTCAATGCAGCGGATACCGGGATCGCTGGGAATAGTCTGTTGGCACAAACCATAACGCAAATAAAATGAAAAAGGAGCTGAACAAGACAAGACAATAGGAAGTCCTTGAATGGCCTGGGACCCGTTGGATTGAACTGTGGACACTTGAGATCACAGGGCATCAAACAGTTGCCAGACGTTATTGTTTATGTTCCGGCTGCCGTCTCTCCGGATATTTGTAATGGACAGAAGACTGAAATAAATTTAAAATGGAAGTATTTGACTATATTGTCTTAGTGGTCATTAGTAGGTGATTTCATGCAACCTGAAAAACCTTGCACACAAATAAGACTAGTTAATTTGAAATACCAAAAGCCGTGTTGGTGGTTTAAAACAAGCCGACAATCAAGAGAATTCAGTTCATTTTTGATTTTCTCAGCGACTTATGATATATCTGACTTTGCTCATTACCTTTTACACAAAGGTAATAAATATTCACCGGCACTCGCATTATGTATTATTCCAAGTCAAACATGAAAGTGATGTTCGTTTAGTTCAAACCCAAGAATTTCACTCATGATTACAAAAGCCTGCATTTCGGTGTTCTTCGCGGGTTTGAATGAAAGGAATGCTTTGTGTTCATGATAAATAGGTCAATGATCAAACGTCATTATCTCGTTTTCTCGCACTTAACCTTTAACAAACGCTCAGTGAGTGCTTCCAACAGTCAGTTTATATGAAACCGTTCGCGTTTAGTATGCATTGCGTACTCTGTCAATGGCCAAACAGAGACCTCTTCATTCGGGCGAAAATGGGGTGCGCTTGTCTTTCCATTTCAATACGACTGAAGTAAAAAAACAGCTCCATTGGTTATCGTCTTTCTTTTCTAGTTCATTTTCGAGATGATTAAATAGGGGTAACAGTATAAATATGCCACCATTCGTTATTCGATCGAAGCATGTCGGATAATTGGTGAATCTAATATTTAAAGCATTTTGCACTGAGTGCATTTTAACTCTATTGATAGGATGTACTATGGTAATATGCTGAGGTATTGCGTATCTGAGATGGGTCGATTAGCAAAGAGTCATATCGGTGTACGCTAGTTATTATGATGTACGGTCGGCTTTCGCTATCCGTAGCCTTCTGTAGAGAAGCACGTTAATATTGCTTTATCTCCTTCTTCAACTGTACTATGGAGGACGTCCCGGAAGAGATTTTGCACGGTCTAACAAACAATGGAGTCTGAATCATCCTAGAAAGTAGAGTTCTGAACTTAAAGTATGATGATGACATCAACATTTAGGGTGAAAATACATAGGCATGCCGATAAACCTCATACCCTCTGGCAACATAGGTATCCAGGTAAATATGTGCTTGGAATCATCCAAAAGGAAAGCCTTTACAAGACTGGCAGGAGCCCTTGTCTGTATTCAGTCTGTCTGGTTATCAGATACAAATGTGCTTCAGCTTTACGTTCCTCGGGATCTCAATCATAACTCAAGGTAGAGTTCACATCACGAACAGCGAAAGCTAGAACAGTTTTGCCGAACTGCGACACCTTTAGCGCTGTCATAACATGCATTTGATCCTTAAAGTATGGAGTACATCGTCGAGGTCAGTAGTATACTTTTTACGTTTGAAAAGCCTGGCCCCTCCGCGTTGAGATTGCTAAACAAGTTTCCGGATTCGACAATCAATGTTTTCGAAACATTGATCGGGTCTCGCGGGAACGTCTGGGGAGCAATGTTGAAATTCGCCATCGTTTACTGGGTACCTACCGATTTCCGTTATCTGACAAAAGTAACCGTTCTGCACCGCCTCCGACAGCTTGGTCATGTTTTTCGTAAGCCTGCACATTATCTACTCTTCCGCACTTTGTATGCACAGGCTGAGCAAGGCTGGAATAAACGTCACCGCGGTCAGACCATGACGCGTCGAAGATGCTTAAAGAATGTTGTTTTTGCTTTGGTCGGTGCAGGTCGCGTTCCGGCTGGGAGCAAACGGATTAGCATTATCGATGGTCAGAGAAGCCTAAGGGTATGAATAAAAACAGACAGATTGGTGTTTATTTTCTTTTTTTATATTCATTTCACCTTTTATTTCCCCTCATACCAATATTATCATTTGTTTCCCGTTGTGTCATGCTTGATTTTATGTCGATTAGTATAAACCGCCGGAATGAAAATCCGATTTAGCTGGCATCTAAAAGTATGGTCAATCGATGTAAAAGTGAATAAGTAACTGGTCCGAAACTGAATTTTATGATCAATTGCCAACCTAAATGGGAAACAGCCCATCGTAATTGATGATGGTAATGTTGTAAGGACAGTAATGATTCTCTTGAAAAACGTTTCTCAGCTTGTTTCTTACCTTCCAAAGCAGACAAATGCAACGTTGGTTAGTGAGCACTAGCGGATTTCGTCGTCTGAAATTAGGATTATTAGTATTTAAGTGAAATATTCGCTAAAGTCATGCAAGCCTTCAGGAAGACATGTTTATTTGACGCAAAATGGGTGAAGAGACTAATATTTACAATAAGTGGAAGGTCACAGGATGTGGGAGAGGAAGAAAACATACAGGTGAATACATTTTTAATCGAAGTTTGCTTCGAAGAACGCTTGCGAATATCTTAGAAATAGCTGCGTTTTCTGTATCAAACAACTCGTCCAAAAGTATTTATTTCACCGAAAAACACTGTAGTTCGATTCGCATTTCCTTATCGAACCAATCACCAAAGTCACCAACATATTGTTTTGTTTTGAATACTGACTCTGGAATTGCAACTAGTGAAATGTTGTTGTTTCAACATCAATAGAGTAAACAGTCTGCACTCACCAGTATAAGAAAGAACTGCGGATGTAGCATCAACGCAAAGGTGGTGAATAACCAAAGCAGTCAGACACAAGAGTCGCTGTTGTAGGACAAACCTCAAGATAAATTGCATGTCTAACAAGGGACGCAATCAAGAGCAAGCTTGATCAACATCCGCTGATCAACTGCATCATATATACTTCTTGCCCTGAACTCGAACTAAATTTGGACAAAGGTGTACATGGTTGGCAATCCAGTTCTGTCTCTCACACGGTATGCCAGCTTACCTGCAGTTGCGGTGATGCATACGTAGACAGGACCAACCGTCAATTATCAAAGCGGATGGCCGAACACATTCGAAAGTGGTTGGTGAAGTCCATGACTCAACCCGCACCCAGTAATCAGGCGGTCACTTGTAACCCGGGGTCATCAGTTGAAAAACACATCATGACACCGTTATTACGTCACCGTAATGGAAAACTTCTGTCAATAACTGAGGTGTTGCTATTGTGAACTGTGTTGTCCAACTCTAAAAGCCCCAATCTATCTGAACATCTCCGTTCACTACGATTTACAAATCTAACGTGCTTATTTATTTCACGTCCACGATTGTGGAGATTGAACGAAATGTTAACATCTCAGGCATATATCTTTTTCAGTCTTGATACGATGGATAATGGGGACACAGTGTTATCAAACGGTTATTGGAAAACGTATCTCAATGAAGTAGGGTTACATATCTTTCGGAGGAATTACGGTTTGTTGAGTATGAGGATATGAAGATCCCCTGCGATAATTTACTTGCTTTAAATGGAGCTCGTTTCACCACCAAATATTCTTACCGGGTTATACCAGTTGCGTGATTTATTTTCATAGTGGTCATCATTGCAATGGGAGGTTATGCGTTTGATAATAACAAAGGTTGATGTTGGGTTTGAAGTTTGGAAAATCGTGTTGTGCAGCATTTTGTCTTACCATATTGCCTGCTTTAATCGACAAGTTGAAAGCGCTAGTGGTGTCTATTATTCGCACCATAAACTTTTCACTTTATTTCGATTTTTTATATTTTGTCCGGACTATTTAATGACCGTAAACAGCAGACTGTTAAACTGAGTTTTTCTTTTCAATAGAATGTTTGGAACCGCATGAAATCAGAATGATTTTGGTATTACGGTTACAGTTTTCTGTTCTGTGTGCCCAAACGTTTGCGTCCCAGTTGATTTTTTCCGAGGAGTTGTTCTGGTTCGTTATTTTATTGTTGTTGCTGTTTTCGTTCTGTCTTCATGTCCGTTCGCTCGTGTTTACAATTGGAATCGGGTGATTGAACGTTGAAGTTTTGAGGTGCCGGATGGTGTATTCATTCAAACGTTCCGCGTTTCTCTGTGCCCAACTTAATGGAAAATCCATGGTTTGCAAATTGCACTGATTTCGTTAGGATTTGTTTTCGATTGGCATGAAGCTGGCATTCCGGTGTGTGATTTTTTGCTATAAACCGTAGCGTTAGGTTTATAATTATCAAGTTACCTTATCCATTGTGACAACCAAATGGAACATGTGAATATTTCCATTCGATTGAAGACCTTGACCGTATAATCTTGTCGGTCCGGAGCGAGCTGCAAAAGGTTCACGCCACAGTCAGATATACAGCTCACGTTGGCTGCTGTGAAGCTTTCACTGAATGCAGACTAGAGCAGGGCACCATTTGAGTTCATAAAGAAATTCTTATCATCTAGCCATCCGGTTTTAAGTTTGCTTTATTCCACTGGCACCTGATATCCCGTAATAAATGAAACGAATTTCCAGGTAGCGAAAGGTTGATTCAATAGGTCATCAAAACCATCTGTCCTCCAAGCACGATGTATGATTGGAAATTCCGCACCTAGAGCTTGTTATTGTACTATCATTTATAGCACCGTGCATCATGTTTTATACTAATCGGGCATTTTTTTCATCAATTGTCGCTGCAGTAACACATTAGGAGAATATCTCATTTTCCAATAAAACGCTTCTTGTCATATTTCTTTGAGGTTTGCCAGTTTCAGTTTTTCACAGATGTGTTTCTCACATTGGTGATTTCCGTAAATCTATTGGCCTAGTTCCTCCAAACCTCTGGATCCGATTGTGATTGAAAACCGTTCTTATGTGGTGAAGACAGAAGTAACTGAGCTAACACGGGAGTGGTCGCTAGGGGCCAAGGTGTGGCATGTACCGGAGGAAACCGACAAAAGCGATCTAGTTACCAAATTGATGAAGTGCACGC